TTCTTGAGATATCACGTTCACAAGAATGAAACAGACACAAGGTCACAGTGACCTGACCTTTGACCACCAAAATGTAATCAGTTCATCCTTGAATCTAAGTGGACAGTGGTGCTAAATTTGGAAAAATTCCCTCAAGGCATCCCTGTGATATCTTGTTCACAAGAATGGGACAGACAGATGGACTACCCAAAAACATAACGCCTCCAGCCATGGCTATCATTGGCGCAGAGGCATAAAAACATGAAGCAATATAATAAGTACACATCGGTAAAAACACAAAGGATCAGTCTAATAAGCAAATGGTAAAGAAGCAACATTTGATAAATGATCGTTTAAAGTACAGGTATTGCACAGTTTAGCATAAAATGTAAGCTGTAAGCCTTAGCATGCCCAGCTAACTAGCTTACAATCTAGAGTAGTAAATGAGCAATACTTCCAAGACCAAGAACAAAATCACTGACTAACTTCACTTTTTTGTGAGGTTACAGATTACTTTAACAAAAGCCAGTGTATGACAAGCACATCCACTGTACTATCTTCTCACCACAAAAAGCTGGTTGTGGATGCTATCAGAGCTTCGGGTTACATTAGCAGCTCTGCCCTTCTCTTTACATCACGAGATACTTTTGCCAGACACATGTATGACCTTTTTCTCTTGTAACGCTAGAAGTGAAAACATACTAGTTCAAAATGCCAGCGAATATGTCATCAGCTAAGCAGCCAAACAGCGTTATGCAAGAACAGAATAACAGTCTGATCTTACATTTTACCCTATCATACAGCAACATAAACATACAGCTACTTACAAGTAATTCTACACTGCAATACAGGAACAATGCTTCTACTTTATACCCAGGTGGTCTACATGGATCATCAGTTGGGGAAGGTACTGACTGTTTGCCTGGGACCTTTTGCCTTTTGGCTGCCTTCTTGTTTGTAAAGAAACTCCAAATTGGCACCAGCCACAGCTTGTAGGAGAATAATGACCCAAACGCAAAGCCTTTACGAGAAGTGTTCAATTAATTTCTTACCAATGGATATGTGTCTGGATGTGCCAAAGAAGGTGTAGAGCAGCACGGGGTAGAAAGAAGAGTACAGACCATAAACTGGAGGCACAGCAGCCAGCATAGCATAGGCCAGACCTGTGGAGCAGAGGAGAAGGAGAGGTGTAAATAAACTGAACAGCCCCAGAAGCCAAGTGATTGCATCACAACCTCAGAGCTACAGAGATACCATAACAAAGACAGTGTGAAGCTGAAAGCAGCGCCCCAGGAGTTGGCAGCTGGCCCTTCACACATTTAACCCTTATTTAATTCCAGATGACTAGCCTGGCCAAACTTAGTTTGTGGCAACTGTACAAAGCCTTAGAATACATAATAATTCTTGCTTCATCGGACTGTAAAGGTAATGTTTTTTAAGCTTTCAAACACACAGATAGGTGAAAAATGAAGTGTCTCAGTAAGGTGTTTTTCAACCACAACCCTAAAGCATAGCTTTACTGCTCCCTTACTGGACTCCTCAAGTCTATAGAACTCCACTGGAGAGATACATCAAATGAATGAATCTCATTTGAATCTCATAAGATATGTGCATGTCTTAAAAGGACTTAAGACAGAGGTGTTGCTGCGACTGCAGGGCTCTGACCTTGAGGGAGCTGCACAACTCCTGTGCTCAGACCTGAGACCACGTCCGAAAACAGGTACTGCTTGACTGGATAGGATGGCAGCCATGTTAGAATGGGCAGACAGCTTAAAGCCGCTGCTTTGGCTTTCTTAGATGAACACCTATGAAAAGAGACAAATGGATTAACTTAACAGTTTGTTATTTAAAAAGAATAAAGAAAAGGTATATTTTTAACTACAGAAAGTATTCCTGGAATCCATGTTGTTTTTCTGCTATAGTTTCTGATCTCCAAATAAGGCCATACTTCAGAACATGATACACCGTAATCTTCTTCCTCACTAATGGAAAGTAATTTTGCTCCACTCACCTGGCTCCTAATCACCTATATACCCGTACTGTTAGCAGCCATCTTTATAATTAAACATTGACAAGACATAGTCATTACTCTTACATCCTGTCAAAAAAAGATATCATCATGTGTGAGATGGGATGGTTAAGGCCCAAATACACTGAAAGAGTCTGACACACGAATTTTGAAGTGCAGCTGTTCTCAACAGGCCTTTGTAACTTTAATTAATAAGTCACATACAGTGCCCACGTACAGAGGCTGTCTGTTTGTACACTGAGAGAGGTAAAGGTTAATCATTTAAAAAGCATTTTCTTAACACACAATCTGCTCTTCAACCTCATTGGGCATCTTCTCATTTTACCTTAGAACACCGTACCACAAGTTTTTACCAGAGTTTCACTGTTCAATTGCTGATGAAAGCCAGTCGTCCTGTGGCCAGCACCCTCTATAACTTATTCACCTCTGGTCAAGAGATAGATAATGGAGTCATAGGGAACCTGAGGTGGCTACAGCCTACTGTCTCTGTCCCTGTCTCAACTCAACTCCTCCCAGATGACTCAAAGGACATCATGTGCAATAATGTGACATTAAGGAAATAGCATAGATACAGTCTTGAACTTTCTATATTAACTATGCACTCATTGTTTATGTTGTATATATTGGATCACACCTGATTTGCACCTTACTGTTGACTCTTTCTATATTTTGCAACTCACTGGTTTCTAGTTTTATGTTTGCAATATATTTTATTTTATATTTCCTATACATTTGCTTTACTGCTGAGTTATTTTAGCCCTTGTATATTGCACTTTTTGTATCTGCAAATAAGTTAAAGCCTAGATTTATTACTGTCACATTCTGCAATTTTATAAGAGCCCGAACTGAATATTTCCTTTTTGACTTGTGTGGATATACTACCACTGATTTAATTATTTCAACAGCTCTTGAGCAGTACAAATCAAGGTTTAAATTCCTCAGTCTAAGCTTACCTGAACTTTTGTGCCAGCCTCTGTCGGAGGGTGGTGGAGTCTTCTTTGCGGTGGAGAAGCTGCGACCGGATGAAGCCTTCATCATAAACTGGACGCTCTATCCTGTATATCAGCTGTGAGTCTGCACCCTCCCTTGCTGCAGCTTCTTGCTCCATTTCAGAGGCAGAAGGGCTGATTGGACTCGTAGTCAGTGTGTGTCTTAACTCACCCACTTATCATCTACGTCATTGCTTTGGCCAGTATATCTTCATTCCTTTCACTGCTCCAAGTTAAATCTCCTCGTCTGCACTTCCTCTTTCTGCTCGGAGGGCAAGAGGAGACAAGATTATTATTCCAACACTAACTGGTTTGTTTGATACTATTTAATGATAACAAGATTGGGAGTGATGATAACCAACAAAGCCTGTGTGTTTGTGCATTTTTGTGCTGATAACTTCAGAGTCAGTTGGATTTGCATGGCTATCACCTTTTAAGCAAATATTTGGCTAAGAGGGTAGCCTGAAGAAATAGCGTCCTGCTTGCTTTGTACTCCATATGTTAAAGGGTACAGTTAGTCAGCTGGATTCCACTGCAAGATGTTGCTTTCAAAGTCAGACAAAAGAATATGGTTTATAGCTTGAACAGGAAATAAATCACTCTACTTATGATAGTCACTGTGTTGCTACAGGGCTATAAAGTGTCTGTGTAGGACTTCATAGTAAATTTACAGTCAACTTATCTCATGTGACTGAAAAAAGCCTTCATTCAGTATGAACATTTAGCAAATATTGGCTGTACATACACATCTCTGAATCCACAATCGCACTGCCTACAAGATAAATGAGTGCAGTAAACCACTTTGTCAGGGCCATATCTTTAAGGCGTGCACATCCACATAATGTTATACGTGTTCTGTGTGAAATTCCCATGTTAAAATTAGTATCTTTGTAATGTGGATTGTGTGCAGAATAAAGTACCTGACATGAAATTTAATTGACTGATAATGCTGTAACTAAATGATGTTGAAGCACACATTTTATAACATCACCTGAATATGGAGCTAGATTTGTCTCATTATTATTTGTGTGAACACATAGACAGGCCAAGTGTTAACATGTAATTTGTAAGTATAAAACACCTTCTACAAATTCAAAAAAAGATTTGTAACTAAAAAAACATTTTGCAAATAGAAAACAGATCTGCAAATACACAAATATGGAGCTAGATTTGTCTTAATACTTTTTCTTTGTGTGTAAATGTGCGATCTGTAAATATAAAACTTCCACCAAAACAGAAATGAATTGTAATATCACGAGAATATTTTGCAAATATAAAACGGATGAATAAACAAACTAATTAAAAAAAAATGCAAATCCACGAGCATATGATTTAGATTCACAAATCAAAAAACTGGATTTACAAATATCTGTTTGACAGTTATAGGCTACATGTTAGGAAGATATTCACAAATGCTTTTGATTTATTTCCAATTAATTAAACATATTCACAGATATTTTTTAAATGTACGAAAATTGTGTATTATCAGATCCATGATATACTTGCAAAATAGTTTTGTAACTTTACAAATCTTTTTTGTACACGGTTTTTTTTTTTTTTTTTTTTTTTTTTTTTTTTTTTTAATAAAGACGAAAGTAACCACGCAAGTTCTTTAGCTGACTTCCATCACTATAACATAAAGTAGTGTCAGTATTTGCTGGTTCACGGTTTGACATGGACTCATCACTTTGCCTGATGAATCAAGTCTCTGACGTATGAACAGTTGACAGCCCCGAGCCTTTCTCGCCTTTCATTTCCTGTACCTTAGCTAGCTAACACTAACGCGGCATTGATAACGGACAAACTCGTAACTACATATTTCTGAAATGTGGAAAAAATATACATTTTTTTAATTCACAGCAATGTTCGTGTTACAAGTACTAACCGGCGTCCAACTGTAACGTTACTGACGTTATCCTCGCTGTGACAGGAGAGAGGGTTTTTCTGGCTCTCCACAGTTCAGCACTGAAGCTAACGTGAAGATGCTAATGAAGGCAGGATTCTTACCTCCGTCCTCCAGCTGCTGTGGGGATGCTGCCCGGAGAATATGAACATACACCTAGACCTGTCCTCTTCAGTTGAAGTTTAACCAGTTTAACGTCCTTGGGGGACGTCACATAGCGGCAACCTGTTATGATACACAGATAGTCTACGCTGAAAGGATAAATTACTCCATTGTGAAATTCCTTTCCATCTTCCGGTTTCCAAAGATTCTTACGCATGCGCTCTCGTCTTGTACTCAGAACGGTTTGTAGTCCTTATAAACGCTGAGTGTTTGAGCTGAGGCTTTTCTTGCCAGATAACCAATGAGTTTCAGTTTAACATGTGTTTGCCTTATTGTTTAAGTATGATCTTGGCAGGTGTTTCCGTCAGTCATCATATGCAAGTGTGTATGTTAAAATTAGGTTAAAAAACTGTGTTGATGGGGCGTCGGTGGCTTAGTGTTAGAGCAGGCGCCCCATGTACAAGGCTGTCACCGCAGTGGCCCGGGCTCGACCCCAGCCCGTGGCCCCCCGCCGCACGTCACTGTCACGTGTTGCAAACTAACGTCAGAGTGAGAGCTCTTATTTTTATTGTGGATCTTTGGCTGCTTGGGGGCAGGGAGCTGGATGATGAAAGCAGGGCCGCCGGCGTCATGACGTGTGGTCACGGGGCTCCCTACTGTGCTCTCTCACGAGCTCCATAACGAACGACGGCATTATATAAAATGTCCTCATAGAGTTGTTTTGACAGTTGAATCAATAAGTAGTAATTAATCACTGTGATCCATAACAATGTAACACAGATTTGACCCCCAGCACATGATGATGATGATGATGATGACAGAAACTGTCACATAATGTACTATTGTATGGGTTTATACTTGATATCTCCTTGGACAGTTTGGTTTGCTTCTGAAGACATTTTTACTAAGGTCATTTGTAATAAATTATTCATAAACATCACCACAAACATACAACCCCAATTCCCAAAAAGTTAGGATGCTGTGTGCAATGATGTGCAAATCCTTACCCTCTATTCAGTTGAATACAGTCCAAGACAAGATATTTAATGTTCAAACTCATAAACATGATTTATTAATATACATTTATTCTGATTTTAATGCCTGCAACATGTTCTAAAACAGCTGGGACAGAGGCATGTTCACCACTGTATTACATCACCTTTCCCTCTAGCAACACTCAGTAAGTGTGTAGCATTCAGCATTCAAGGTGTCTTCACAGATGTGAAAGTTACCCATGATGCTATGGGCACTAACTAACACACCCCCATACCATCACAGATGCTGGCTTTTGAAGTTTGAGCTGGTAACAGTCTGGATGATCCTCTCGTGTCATGTAACATTGTCCATGATTTCCGAAAACAATTTGAAATGTGGACTCATCAGACCAATGCACACTTTTCCACTTTGTGCCGGTCCATCACAGATGAGCTCAGACCCAGAGAAGTCTGCAGCGCTTCTGGATTTTGTTGATATCTGGCTTTCACTTTGCATGGTAGTCTTAACCTGCATTTGTAGATGAAGCAACAAACTGTTTTTACTGACAATGGTTTTCCAAAGTGTTCCTGAGTCCATGTCGTACTATCCTTCCTACAACTAAGTCAGGTTTAAATATAGTGCCCTTTGAGGGGTCAAAGGTCACAGCCATTCAGTCCCCCAAAAGTGTATATTTTACAAAAAAAAGATAAAGTTGATCAGTTTGAACTTTGCAATGCAGGTGCTCAAGCAGAAAAAAGAGCATCCCTTTCACAAAGTGCACCCTGCTGAGAGGTTTCTATTACCCAGCACCAGATTATTTCTTTAGCTTGAGACCTAAGTACATACAATACATTTGTGCACAGCTACGAGCAGGGGAAATGTCTGCTTACTAACAAGGTGTCTAAATATCTATATTCTATAGTATATGCATCTAGAAGCAGCTACACATACACTTGCTGTATGGCTTGAGGTAATGTACAGAGAGCATTGATGCCATGCGCTGAGTGTGCCATCTGTCTTTCTGTATTAACACTTTGTTTCCACTAGAGGGCAATAACAGTCAAAAAGTTCACAAACTTTAAAGCAGTGTCTGTAGAGTTTAATCATAATACAACACATGTTTTTCATGCTTTTAGCTGTACTGACTTAATACAAACAATATATGAGAAATATGTGAGAAAGTGCAAGACCTCTATATCAGTATATTTTTACAATATAAAAATGTTTTCTTAACATACATCCAGCTGTCTCACAAAAACAAACACTGACTGATCTTTTGTTTTTTTAGTGTCATAGTGTGAAGAAGTATGGAAACTGGCCTTTAAGATGCTGCCATTTAGTCTGTGTATTTTTCTGTGTAATTTATTAAGAGAGGTTGAAAAGGTTCAAGTACAAACGTTTTCAAATTTTCCTTAGAGATAAATAAAGCATCATAAGATTTGGTGTTAAAGGGCTTTTTGTTTGAAAATTCCTTTAGCACATTAAACCAAACACTTATTTTCAAACCAAAATAAAGAAAAATTTTCCTCCTCTGAGATATATATTTGAAATCAAAACCATGGCAGCTGAAATTCATGGCAGCTTTTTTTTTTCTTTATCAACTGTAGGCTATATCATCCTAGCAGACCCAACATGCCCATGATATTTGTCATTGTATGAAATGTGTGTCTTGCATACTGCGTCATTAGTCACGCCAAAAAAGCAAGTTCAAAATGCTGTATGCAAGAATATTTTTTTGAAAAGACATTAAGACATAGAAGATTAAGAATGACTATTAAATTAAGCAAAGTAAAAAAAAATAAAAACCCAAATAACAGAAAATGTTTCAGTTTACACAGTTTTATTTCAGTAATAAATAGCCCCAAATGTAGTAAACAACATAAAAGATCAGTGGGGAGAAAAAGAAGATCCTCTACTTAAGTGAAAGTAAGTGTTCAGTAAACAAACACAAGTGTTACTGGCAAAATGTATTAAAAGCACTTATACTAATGAAACAATATTTAAGTAGCATTTTATTGTTGTAGCTGCTTGGAGTTGAGCTAGTTCTTTGTGTACAGTTAGCTAGTTTAGAACAATTATTTATATGAAACCATATAAAAGGTATAAAGGAGAAATCATTATTTGAGTAGGTGCTAACAAACCATTAGCGTTGTTAGCATTGCAAAAGAAATTCTGCAATACTGCTATAAAGAAGCTCTGCCATTACACCAGCTTGGGTTTTTTAATATAGAATCACGAGTGCGTGATTTTAAATAGCATGCTTCCATCCCTGCAAGCAAAAGAGGCATGACATGACAGCATCGGCATCTGTTGTGGCTGGGCCATTCACACAAGTGTTGATTTGGCTTTGTTACAACCTCAGCTGCTGGCTTAACAGTGGAACAATTCTGTCCCCCCATCCCATGTTTGTATGTTTGATACAGAACAGCAAGGTGGAATAACGGCACAGCATTTCCGTCTTAAACAGGCTGTATGAAAGGGGCTATGAACATCTGAAATGAGACAAGCGGCTCCAACTAGACACTGTTTTTTTGTAAGGAGTCAGATGCTAAAAAGGTTAGGAACCAGTGGTCTTATCTAATCTTCAACAATATTTTAGAGCTTGTTATATTTTTTTTTTTTTTNGACCCAAAAACATAACGCCTCCAGCCATGGCTATCATTGGCGCAGAGGCATAAAAACATGAAGCAATATAATAAGTACACATCGGTAAAAACACAAAGGATCAGTCTAATAAGCAAATGGTAAAGAAGCAACATTTGATAAATGATCGTTTAAAGTACAGGTATTGCACAGTTTAGCATAAAATGTAAGCTGTAAGCCTTAGCATGCCCAGCTAACTAGCTTACAATCTAGAGTAGTAAATGAGCAATACTTCCAAGACCAAGAACAAAATCACTGACTAACTTCACTTTTTTGTGAGGTTACAGATTACTTTAACAAAAGCCAGTGTATGACAAGCACATCCACTGTACTATCTTCTCACCACAAAAAGCTGGTTGTGGATGCTATCAGAGCTTCGGGTTACATTAGCAGCTCTGCCCTTCTCTTTACATCACGAGATACTTTTGCCAGACACATGTATGACCTTTTTCTCTTGTAACGCTAGAAGTGAAAACATACTAGTTCAAAATGCCAGCGAATATGTCATCAGCTAAGCAGCCAAACAGCGTTATGCAAGAACAGAATAACAGTCTGATCTTACATTTTACCCTATCATACAGCAACATAAACATACAGCTACTTACAAGTAATTCTACACTGCAATACAGGAACAATGCTTCTACTTTATACCCAGGTGGTCTACATGGATCATCAGTTGGGGAAGGTACTGACTGTTTGCCTGGGACCTTTTGCCTTTTGGCTGCCTTCTTGTTTGTAAAGAAACTCCAAATTGGCACCAGCCACAGCTTGTAGGAGAATAATGACCCAAACGCAAAGCCTTTACGAGAAGTGTTCAATTAATTTCTTACCAATGGATATGTGTCTGGATGTGCCAAAGAAGGTGTAGAGCAGCACGGGGTAGAAAGAAGAGTACAGACCATAAACTGGAGGCACAGCAGCCAGCATAGCATAGGCCAGACCTGTGGAGCAGAGGAGAAGGAGAGGTGTAAATAAACTGAACAGCCCCAGAAGCCAAGTGATTGCATCACAACCTCAGAGCTACAGAGATACCATAACAAAGACAGTGTGAAGCTGAAAGCAGCGCCCCAGGAGTTGGCAGCTGGCCCTTCACACATTTAACCCTTATTTAATTCCAGATGACTAGCCTGGCCAAACTTAGTTTGTGGCAACTGTACAAAGCCTTAGAATACATAATAATTCTTGCTTCATCGGACTGTAAAGGTAATGTTTTTTAAGCTTTCAAACACACAGATAGGTGAAAAATGAAGTGTCTCAGTAAGGTGTTTTTCAACCACAACCCTAAAGCATAGCTTTACTGCTCCCTTACTGGACTCCTCAAGTCTATAGAACTCCACTGGAGAGATACATCAAATGAATGAATCTCATTTGAATCTCATAAGATATGTGCATGTCTTAAAAGGACTTAAGACAGAGGTGTTGCTGCGACTGCAGGGCTCTGACCTTGAGGGAGCTGCACAACTCCTGTGCTCAGACCTGAGACCACGTCCGAAAACAGGTACTGCTTGACTGGATAGGATGGCAGCCATGTTAGAATGGGCAGACAGCTTAAAGCCGCTGCTTTGGCTTTCTTAGATGAACACCTATGAAAAGAGACAAATGGATTAACTTAACAGTTTGTTATTTAAAAAGAATAAAGAAAAGGTATATTTTTAACTACAGAAAGTATTCCTGGAATCCATGTTGTTTTTCTGCTATAGTTTCTGATCTCCAAATAAGGCCATACTTCAGAACATGATACACCGTAATCTTCTTCCTCACTAATGGAAAGTAATTTTGCTCCACTCACCTGGCTCCTAATCACCTATATACCCGTACTGTTAGCAGCCATCTTTATAATTAAACATTGACAAGACATAGTCATTACTCTTACATCCTGTCAAAAAAAGATATCATCATGTGTGAGATGGGATGGTTAAGGCCCAAATACACTGAAAGAGTCTGACACACGAATTTTGAAGTGCAGCTGTTCTCAACAGGCCTTTGTAACTTTAATTAATAAGTCACATACAGTGCCCACGTACAGAGGCTGTCTGTTTGTACACTGAGAGAGGTAAAGGTTAATCATTTAAAAAGCATTTTCTTAACACACAATCTGCTCTTCAACCTCATTGGGCATCTTCTCATTTTACCTTAGAACACCGTACCACAAGTTTTTACCAGAGTTTCACTGTTCAATTGCTGATGAAAGCCAGTCGTCCTGTGGCCAGCACCCTCTATAACTTATTCACCTCTGGTCAAGAGATAGATAATGGAGTCATAGGGAACCTGAGGTGGCTACAGCCTACTGTCTCTGTCCCTGTCTCAACTCAACTCCTCCCAGATGACTCAAAGGACATCATGTGCAATAATGTGACATTAAGGAAATAGCATAGATACAGTCTTGAACTTTCTATATTAACTATGCACTCATTGTTTATGTTGTATATATTGGATCACACCTGATTTGCACCTTACTGTTGACTCTTTCTATATTTTGCAACTCACTGGTTTCTAGTTTTATGTTTGCAATATATTTTATTTTATATTTCCTATACATTTGCTTTACTGCTGAGTTATTTTAGCCCTTGTATATTGCACTTTTTGTATCTGCAAATAAGTTAAAGCCTAGATTTATTACTGTCACATTCTGCAATTTTATAAGAGCCCGAACTGAATATTTCCTTTTTGACTTGTGTGGATATACTACCACTGATTTAATTATTTCAACAGCTCTTGAGCAGTACAAATCAAGGTTTAAATTCCTCAGTCTAAGCTTACCTGAACTTTTGTGCCAGCCTCTGTCGGAGGGTGGTGGAGTCTTCTTTGCGGTGGAGAAGCTGCGACCGGATGAAGCCTTCATCATAAACTGGACGCTCTATCCTGTATATCAGCTGTGAGTCTGCACCCTCCCTTGCTGCAGCTTCTTGCTCCATTTCAGAGGCAGAAGGGCTGATTGGACTCGTAGTCAGTGTGTGTCTTAACTCACCCACTTATCATCTACGTCATTGCTTTGGCCAGTATATCTTCATTCCTTTCACTGCTCCAAGTTAAATCTCCTCGTCTGCACTTCCTCTTTCTGCTCGGAGGGCAAGAGGAGACAAGATTATTATTCCAACACTAACTGGTTTGTTTGATACTATTTAATGATAACAAGATTGGGAGTGATGATAACCAACAAAGCCTGTGTGTTTGTGCATTTTTGTGCTGATAACTTCAGAGTCAGTTGGATTTGCATGGCTATCACCTTTTAAGCAAATATTTGGCTAAGAGGGTAGCCTGAAGAAATAGCGTCCTGCTTGCTTTGTACTCCATATGTTAAAGGGTACAGTTAGTCAGCTGGATTCCACTGCAAGATGTTGCTTTCAAAGTCAGACAAAAGAATATGGTTTATAGCTTGAACAGGAAATAAATCACTCTACTTATGATAGTCACTGTGTTGCTACAGGGCTATAAAGTGTCTGTGTAGGACTTCATAGTAAATTTACAGTCAACTTATCTCATGTGACTGAAAAAAGCCTTCATTCAGTATGAACATTTAGCAAATATTGGCTGTACATACACATCTCTGAATCCACAATCGCACTGCCTACAAGATAAATGAGTGCAGTAAACCACTTTGTCAGGGCCATATCTTTAAGGCGTGCACATCCACATAATGTTATACGTGTTCTGTGTGAAATTCCCATGTTAAAATTAGTATCTTTGTAATGTGGATTGTGTGCAGAATAAAGTACCTGACATGAAATTTAATTGACTGATAATGCTGTAACTAAATGATGTTGAAGCACACATTTTATAACATCACCTGAATATGGAGCTAGATTTGTCTCATTATTATTTGTGTGAACACATAGACAGGCCAAGTGTTAACATGTAATTTGTAAGTATAAAACACCTTCTACAAATTCAAAAAAAGATTTGTAACTAAAAAAACATTTTGCAAATAGAAAACAGATCTGCAAATACACAAATATGGAGCTAGATTTGTCTTAATACTTTTTCTTTGTGTGTAAATGTGCGATCTGTAAATATAAAACTTCCACCAAAACAGAAATGAATTGTAATATCACGAGAATATTTTGCAAATATAAAACGGATGAATAAACAAACTAATTAAAAAAAAATGCAAATCCACGAGCATATGATTTAGATTCACAAATCAAAAAACTGGATTTACAAATATCTGTTTGACAGTTATAGGCTACATGTTAGGAAGATATTCACAAATGCTTTTGATTTATTTCCAATTAATTAAACATATTCACAGATATTTTTTAAATGTACGAAAATTGTGTATTATCAGATCCATGATATACTTGCAAAATAGTTTTGTAACTTTACAAATCTTTTTTGTACACTTTTTTTTTTTTTTTTTTTTTTTTTTTTGCATTTGACTAACACAGACGAAAGTAACCACGCAAGTTCTTTAGCTGACTTCCATCACTATAACATAAAGTAGTGTCAGTATTTGCTGGTTCACGGTTTGACATGGACTCATCACTTTGCCTGATGAATCAAGTCTCTGACGTATGAACAGTTGACAGCCCCGAGCCTTTCTCGCCTTTCATTTCCTGTACCTTAGCTAGCTAACACTAACGCGGCATTGATAACGGACAAACTCGTAACTACATATTTCTGAAATGTGGAAAAAATATACATTTTTTTAATTCACAGCAATGTTCGTGTTACAAGTACTAACCGGCGTCCAACTGTAACGTTACTGACGTTATCCTCGCTGTGACAGGAGAGAGGGTTTTTCTGGCTCTCCACAGTTCAGCACTGAAGCTAACGTGAAGATGCTAATGAAGGCAGGATTCTTACCTCCGTCCTCCAGCTGCTGTGGGGATGCTGCCCGGAGAATATGAACATACACCTAGACCTGTCCTCTTCAGTTGAAGTTTAACCAGTTTAACGTCCTTGGGGGACGTCACATAGCGGCAACCTGTTATGATACACAGATAGTCTACGCTGAAAGGATAAATTACTCCATTGTGAAATTCCTTTCCATCTTCCGGTTTCCAAAGATTCTTACGCATGCGCTCTCGTCTTGTACTCAGAACGGTTTGTAGTCCTTATAAACGCTGAGTGTTTGAGCTGAGGCTTTTCTTGCCAGATAACCAATGAGTTTCAGTTTAACATGTGTTTGCCTTATTGTTTAAGTATGATCTTGGCAGGTGTTTCCGTCAGTCATCATATGCAAGTGTGTATGTTAAAATTAGGTTAAAAAACTGTGTTGATGGGGCGTCGGTGGCTTAGTGTTAGAGCAGGCGCCCCATGTACAAGGCTGTCACCGCAGTGGCCCGGGCTCGACCCCAGCCCGTGGCCCCCCGCCGCACGTCACTGTCACGTGTTGCAAACTAACGTCAGAGTGAGAGCTCTTATTTTTATTGTGGATCTTTGGCTGCTTGGGGGCAGGGAGCTGGATGATGAAAGCAGGGCCGCCGGCGTCATGACGTGTGGTCACGGGGCTCCCTACTGTGCTCTCTCACGAGCTCCATAACGAACGACGGCATTATATAAAATGTCCTCATAGAGTTGTTTTGACAGTTGAATCAATAAGTAGTAATTAATCACTGTGATCCATAACAATGTAACACAGATTTGACCCCCAGCACATGATGATGATGATGATGATGACAGAAACTGTCACATAATGTACTATTGTATGGGTTTATACTTGATATCTCCTTGGACAGTTTGGTTTGCTTCTGAAGACATTTTTACTAAGGTCATTTGTAATAAATTATTCATAAACATCACCACAAACATACAACCCCAATTCCCAAAAAGTTAGGATGCTGTGTGCAATGATGTGCAAATCCTTACCCTCTATTCAGTTGAATACAGTCCAAGACAAGATATTTAATGTTCAAACTCATAAACATGATTTATTAATATACATTTATTCTGATTTTAATGCCTGCAACATGTTCTAAAACAGCTGGGACAGAGGCATGTTCACCACTGTATTACATCACCTTTCCCTCTAGCAACACTCAGTAAGTGTGTAGCATTCAGCATTCAAGGTGTCTTCACAGATGTGAAAGTTACCCATGATGCTATGGGCACTAACTAACACACCCCCATACCATCACAGATGCTGGCTTTTGAAGTTTGAGCTGGTAACAGTCTGGATGATCCTCTCGTGTCATGTAACATTGTCCATGATTTCCGAAAACAATTTGAAATGTGGACTCATCAGACCAATGCACACTTTTCCACTTTGTGCCGGTCCATCACAGATGAGCTCAGACCCAGAGAAGTCTGCAGCGCTTCTGGATTTTGTTGATATCTGGCTTTCACTTTGCATGGTAGTCTTAACCTGCATTTGTAGATGAAGCAACAAACTGTTTTTACTGACAATGGTTTTCCAAAGTGTTCCTGAGTCCATGTCGTACTATCCTTCCTACAACTAAGTCAGGTTTAAATATAGTGCCCTTTGAGGGGTCAAAGGTCACAGCCATTCAGTGCCCCAAAAGTGTATATTTTACAAAAAAAAGATAAAGTTGATCAGTTTGAACTTTGCAATGCAGGTGCTCAAGCAGAAAAAAGAGCATCCCTTTCACAAAGTGCACCCTGCTGAGAGGTTTCTATTACCCAGCACCAGATTATTTCTTTAGCTTGAGACCTAAGTACATACAATACATTTGTGCACAGCTACGAGCAGGGGAAATGTCTGCTTACTAACAAGGTGTCTAAATATCTATATTCTATAGTATATGCATCTAGAAGCAGCTACACATACACTTGCTGTATGGCTTGAGGTAATGTACAGAGAGCATTGATGCCATGCGCTGAGTGTGCCATCTGTCTTTCTGTATTAACACTTTGTTTCCACTAGAGGGCAATAACAGTCAAAAAGTTCACAAACTTTAAAGCAGTGTCTGTAGAGTTTAATCATAATACAACACATGTTTTTCATGCTTTTAGCTGTACTGACTTAATACAAACAATATATGAGAAATATGTGAGAAAGTGCAAGACCTCTATATCAGTATATTTTTACAATATAAAAATGTTTTCTTAACATACATCCAGCTGTCTCACAAAAACAAACACTGACTGATCTTTTGTTTTTTTAGTGTCATAGTGTGAAGAAGTATGGAAACTGGCCTTTAAGATGCTGCCATTTAGTCTGTGTATTTTTCTGTGTAATTTATTAAGAGAGGTTGAAAAGGTTCAAGTACAAACGTTTTCAAATTTTCCTTAGAGATAAATAAAGCATCATAAGATTTGGTGTTAAAGGGCTTTTTGTTTGAAAATTCCTTTAGCACATTAAACCAAACACTTATTTTCAAACCAAAATAAAGAAAAATTTTCCTCCTCTGAGATATATATTTGAAATCAAAACCATGGCAGCTGAAATTCATGGCAGCTTTTTTTTTTCTTTATCAACTGTAGGCTATATCATCCTAGCAGACCCAACATGCCCATGATATTTGTCATTGTATGAAATGTGTGTCTTGCATACTGCGTCATTAGTCACGCCAAAAAAGCAAGTTCAAAATGCTGTATGCAAGAATATTTTTTTGAAAAGACATTAAGACATAGAAGATTAAGAATGACTATTAAATTAAGCAAAGTAAAAAAAAATAAAAACCCAAATAACAGAAAATGTTTCAGTTTACACAGTTTTATTTCAGTAATAAATAGCCCCAAATGTAGTAAACAACATAAAAGATCAGTGGGGAGAAAAAGAAGATCCTCTACTTAAGTGAAAGTAAGTGTTCAGTAAACAAACACAAGTGTTACTGGCAAAATGTATTAAAAGCACTTATACTAATGAAACAATATTTAAGTAGCATTTTATTGTTGTAGCTGCTTGGAGTTGAGCTAGTTCTTTGTGTACAGTTAGCTAGTTTAGAACAATTATTTATATGAAACCATATAAAAGGTATAAAGGAGAAATCATTATTTGAGTAGGTGCTAACAAACCATTAGCGTTGTTAGCATTGCAAAAGAAATTCTGCAATACTGCTATAAAGAAGCTCTGCCATTACACCAGCTTGGGTTTTTTAATATAGAATCACGAGTGCGTGATTTTAAATAGCATGCTTCCATCCCTGCAAGCAAAAGAGGCATGACATGACAGCATCGGCATCTGTTGTGGCTGGGCCATTCACACAAGTGTTGATTTGGCTTTGTTACAACCTCAGCTGCTGGCTTAACAGTGGAACAATTCTGTCCCCCCATCCCATGTTTGTATGTTTGATACAGAACAGCAAGGTGGAATAACGGCACAGCATTTCCGTCTTAAACAGGCTGTATGAAAGGGGCTATGAACATCTGAAATGAGACAAGCGGCTCCAACTAGACACTGTTTTTTTGTAAGGAGTCAGATGCTAAAAAGGTTAGGAACCAGTGGTCTTATCTAATCTTCAACAATATTTTAGAGCTTGTTATATTTTTTTTTTTTTTTGCTGTGAAATAAATACGTTGGAGTAAAAAGCACAAAACCTGTCTCTGCAATTGTTGTGGAGCAGGAGTATAAAGTTGCATAAAATGGAAATACTCAAATTAGTGGTATAAGGAAGTTATGATGAGCTCCGGCGCACATCATCTCGTCACATGATTGTAACTTGACATTGAATAACATCAACATACATATTACTTAGCAATCATCATTGCATATCTGTGTATAACAAAAAATCCCAAAGAAAATAAGAAATTATTAATGTAATTTAACAATTTTAATAGTGGATTTATAGTTATAGAATAAACATATAACTTTGTTATAGTTGCTATTGACAATTTTACAAATTAAGAAAATTAACATGAGGGAGATAGCTTTGCCTTTTTCAAGGGCATATGTAGCAAATGACACTGTTTCTAATTCAATGACAGTTCTTCTTTGAACACAGGCATATTTTCAAGGTGGCAGACACTCATAAGGGCCCATTCTCCACCCAACACATTGTTGGAAGGCTCACTTTCTCCATGGGCCCGCCACCTCATGGGCCCCAGTGCAACCACACTGCCTGCACTGTTTATATTTACGCCCCTGACTTTAAATATAAGTATCTCAAATTTGCGCTAAACTTGACTGAACGTACTTAGTTACTTCCCACTGCTGCTGAAGAGTGCTGTAGTAAGAAAACAAGGACCTACTGTAACTTCTTTCATCTTGGTCAATAGGTTAAAAGGGAGTGGGTGCGGGCTGTTTGCTGGTTGGTGTCAATGACCTCAGTGATAAAGCTACAGTACAACAGTCTTATTCAGCTTTTGCTACAGCTTTGACCAATCACAAAAAAAAATCTTGCTGCTTTGCATTTTCCATCACTGCACTAGGGTGTAGGTTTCATATTGGGAGGGCACATATGAAACAGGGGATCATCCCCCAGGAAATTTTGAGCACCAAACACTTCACCAAACAGTCATTGGTTTATGGTGGAAAGGTTTTTAACTTTAACAAAATAAAACTCCTCTCTTACTTTCATGTTTTATTTGGGGGTTAGAGATGTGCATATTCTAAATATTGAGGGGGATGTGTCCCCTGCGTGAACTTTATGTTTTCTTTTATTGTGTTCTATTCACATTGCTAGCTGTGGCAGGTCCACACCAAACGTTTTGGACGATTAGGAAACAACATACAGGTAAATGAGTTCTGAGCGTGTGATGAAGTAATCACCGAGTCACTGGCGTTGATAAACTGCGATCTCAAAGCCAGTTTTATAAATATTTTACAATGTTGTTTTGTTCTGTTAGGCAGTAAAAACAGTATTTATTGCTTCTTGAAATAGGAGTGGGGGAACATTGTTATCATGATGGGTTTTCCCTGCGTCTTTTGGCCTTCAGCCTGATGCTCCGTCCAGATGGACAAAGAATTATAATCACAGTGATGCTACGTAAAACTGTGTCTATTCTCCCTGTGTCTCAGTCTTTCATAAATTATTGTCAAGGCATCAAGTTGAACATTGTCTCTTAAAATTTATTCATGTCTCCATGTTTTTGCAGCAGTTATATCTTACAACACCACTGACCTAAAACCACAGTGTGG